TGTCGGAGACTTCTCACACGCAGAGGGCTTCGAGTGTTGTTAGCAAGAGGTTCGCTTCTTATGCTTACAAGGTAGTTTGGGGTTGTTGTGTTCAGGACAGGTTTGCAAAGCGCAATCGTTATGAGGGTTTTCGAGGCAAGTCGTCTGGCGTCGCAACGATTTGTTCTTTACCCGTGTATCCCAGTGTAGGAATTATCCCCTCAAAACTTTGGATGACATCACGAATTCAACATGTGAATGTGGTTGTTGGCCACATTTGTGTACGAGTCGTCAACGTTTATCTCAAACCTCATGCGACGGTAGGGTCAGATGAGTTTGAGCTGAATACTTTGATTTTGGATTTTGCAGTTCAGGTTCTGAGTGGTGTTCATGGTCCCGCTATGTTGGTTGGCGATTTTAATTCTTCATGGGACAAATACCAACCCACACAACAAGTCATGAATAACGGATGGGAAGATTTAGCACTGTTGCACTCACGTCGAACCGGATTTCCGGCCAAGAACACATGTCGGGATGCAGCTCGGCATACTTTTGCGTTGGTGAATCCGGATTTTGTTCCTTTCTTTGTAGACTCTGATGTTATTCCCTTTCATGCTTTTGATAGCCATGACCTATTAGTAGTCACTTGCCAATTGCGCGGAGCTGCAAATCACGTGTACAAGTGGCCGCACCCGTCATCCTTCGAGAATCAAACTTTCGACCGTGAAATTTTACATAAGGCTGCTGAGCGGAAAGCAGCTTCTATGAAGGAGAGTTTCCAATACTTGGTACAGCAAAACCCTGACAAGGCTCTCAAATCGTGGGCGGTGGGAGTCGAATCTGTGTTTCAAGACGCCCATTGTGATGTGGAAGGTTTCAAGGCTCGCTTGGGTAAGCGTTTTTTAGGCCGTTGTCAGGCTCAAAGTCCCGTCCGCAAGTCGGCGAGTGAACCCAGGGTCAAGGTTGCTAGAGCTGGTGATTTTTCACTCGAGTATGATACGCCCTCTGTGCAAGTTAGGCAAAGACTGAAGCAAGTCAGGCGGTATCAGTCTATGCTACGATGCCTTAAGAAGTGGCGCATAGATTGCTGTGATTCTGTGCTTGCTTTCAAGATTAAGCAACTTTGGGATGCTATTTGTAATGCGTCTGGTTATGGCCAGTTTAAGGTGTGGGCCTTCCATACAGCGGGAATTTCTTTGAATAACCCCTGGCAGCCACAAGACCAACTTGAGCATCTTTATCAAATTATGCAAGATGATGTTAAAGCGTTGAATACCAAGTTATGGTCATTGAAGAATGACAAGTTTAAAGCATCCTTGGAGTCTTCATTTCTTGAAGGGGGTGGCAGTTTACCTTTTGCATTGGTTAAACCAGATAGGAAACCTTGCCTTTCAGAGTTAAAGTCTACGGTTAAACTTGTTATTCCGAGACAAAAGTGGCAAGGTAAGACTCAGTTTAGTTTTCTGGCTGGCCTAAACCATGGCTTGCTACCGGGTGACATCATTGAGTCGTCTCGTGATACATGGCAAATCAAACGAGTTGTCCACCGCCGTATCTTCCTTCATAAGGGCGTCAATTTACGGGATCTTGCCAGTTTGAGGAAGGTGACTTACTTGGTTGATAGAGATGCTATCGCAGAGGAGTTCTTTCAGGGTTGGAATTCGTTTTGGCAGCGTGATGCGCTCGATGAGCCTCTTTGGGCGGATGCCGCTCAGGTCTTGAATTCCTTGCCTGACTGGCCTGCTCTTGCGTATACACCTATTTCCGTAGATGATTGGCAGTTAGCACTACGCAGTACGAAAGCCAAAACAATGCGTGGAGCTGACAGTTTTACTACTCGTGAGCTTCAGCTTGTACCGACCCCTTTGGTGAAGATGTTGTTGGAGCTTTACAATCAAATCGAGTGTACGGGTCTTTGGCCGTCTCTGCTCCGAGAGTGGTTTGTAATCTTGTTGCGTAAGGAAGATGGTCCCATCACTTGGAAGGGTATTCGGCCTATTTCTGTAGCGGCTTTGCTATATCGGATATATGCTAAAATACGTGCGAAACAAATCCTCGCACACGCTCGGCAGTTTCTGTTTCCTTATGTCGGGGTTCATATATCCACGGCCGTCTTATGGACAACCATATCGGAATTAATTGCGGATGCACATGCTACGAATACTCCCTCGTATGGCTTGGTTTTTGACATTGTCAAAGCTTTCAACAGTTTGTCTAGGCCGGTTGTTTTTGGGTTAGCGAAAAAGTGCGGGATTCCACCTGCTATTCTCTCAGCTTGGGAGGGAGCTATGATCGGAATCAACAGGAGGTGTATAATTTCGGGCAGTATCCACTTGCAAGCCAAGTCTACCACTGGGTTTCCAGAGGGTTGCCCGCTGAGTGTATCGGCGATGCTGTTTATCACGTGGGCGTTTGCCCTTACTATCAAGAATGGCGTTGTGGGAGTGCTTCCCTTTACATTTGCCGATAATTGGCAGTTAGTTTCTGAACAGTGCAGGAGCATTAAAGAGGCGTGTTCCATTACAGTCAAGTTTTGTGATGCCCTACGGTTGCAGCTGTCACCTCTGAAGAGTTGGTCTTGGTCCACGTCATGCAAAGGTCGCTCTCTTCTAAAATGTTTGAAGATTCATGGTGACCCTATTCCCACGGTTGAACAAGCTACTGATCTCGGTGCCCAAATTTGCTACAGTAAACGTCACCGTGTTGGTGTAATTGACCAGCGTTGTAAATCGGGTGTTAGTAAGCTTCGTAAAATAGCTGCCCTGCCTACTTTCCGCCGCAGGCGTGAGCAACTGATTCTAAGATCTGTTTGGCCAGAAGTTTTGCATGCTGCAGAAATCCATTCTTTGTCTAAAACGCGTCTGCAAACACTGCGTTCTCGTGCTACTGAGGCCCTAGGCTTCAAGAAGGCTGGTCGAAACCCGTGGCTAGCCTGTAGTGTTGTCTCAGCTAGCCCTGTTGACCCTCAGTTTGTGCTAGTGGTTAATAGGGTGCGCTTGTTGAGGCAAGTCTTAAGCTTCGAACCTTCGCATGTTGACCAGTTTTGTCGCAGACTTTCTCGTACTGCAGAGTTCCCGAGCTTAGTAACGTGCTTGCGCGATGACTTGCGGAAAGTTGGTTGGGAGTGTGATGCCGAGTTTGGTTGCACAGACGGTGACGGCCGAAGTTTTCATCTTGTTGTTTCAAATATGAGACACATCCTTCGATTGTTGACGTCTTCGTGGTTTCAAGTTGTAGCTGCAAACGTGTGTCACAGGAAAGAACTGACTGATTTGGAGACGATTGATGCAGATCATTCTCGAAGGCTTTCGCATTTCAGGCATCATGAGCGGGGCTTGTTGGAGGCCCAAGCGGTTGGTGAGGTTTTTACGCAAGATAAAATTGGCAAGTTTTCTGGTAGTGCTAGCGGTGTAACATGTCCGTTTTGCCAGTGCGCAGACAGTCTCACCCACCGGTTTCAAGAGTGTCAAGCTTTGAAGTACGTGAGGGACCGACACCTTGTGATGCAACGCATTTGGCCTGACATTCCAGACTCTGCTCGCTTTTATGGACTGTGGCCCGAACTACCTTTATGCAGACTTGTACAAGGTCACCTTGATAGTATAGGTTTCCCCGTAATCCAAAGAGTGTCTAATGAAGCTCCTGTTGCGCTTTTCACTGATGGTTCTTGTCTTCATCCCAAGTTTCCGTTAATTCGGTTAGCGGCTTCGGCGGTTATTTTAGCGAAAGGTTCCTGGGATCATGAAGTAGTTTGGAGGGGCATTGTGCCGTCAGCTGATCAGCATGTTGACCGTGCTGAGATTTTGGCTGCTGCTGTTGCATGTTCCGCGTTCCGGCGGGCCAGTATATATTCTGACTCCAAGTATGTAGTTCAGGTGGCTCGTGCCATCCTTCAACAGCTACGGCAGGGTTCAAATCCCCAGCTGCCTCAAACGAACTTGGATTGCTGGCTGTTTTTCTTGAATGCTGTTCGCGGTGCTGATTTGCAGAATTTGGATATCGTAAAGGTCAAAGCTCATCAGGATTGGAAGCAACTTCAGGGATTTGAGCGGTGTCTCGTGTGGTACAACGGGATAGCTGATATGGTTGCAAAGTCTACGGCTCGTCAGTTTAGTCAAGTTCTTCCAGGCTACTCCCAGCTGGTACAAAGTTTCTTTCAGTTGCAACAGAATGCTGAAGTAATTATGCGTTACCATGCTGACATTGCGTGGTGCGCAACTCATGTTTCCAAGCCCGAAGTCAGCGTTTCTGCGTCTGTCCCACTCAATGCTTCAAGTTTTCAGGGTGATGGTGAAGAGTATTGGAAACCTCCTTCTGTTCAAGTAGACGAATGCGAAGATTCTCCCCATCCGAAGTTCATGGCGACACTTAGTCAATGGTTACTGCAATTGCGTTGGTTTCCTTCAACCGGAAACGGTACTTTTCAGGATACGTCTTGGCTTGAATTGATGTGGTTCTTTGTTTGGAGCACGAACTGCAGTGTCCCGGTTCTGGTTGAAGGAAAGTATGTTACCAGAGGTGAAACGACCGACTTTGTGCTTGTGGAACCTACGACTGTGCAGCTGTTGAAAACTTTTAGGTACTTTATTTCCTGTATTGAGGCGCGATTTCAAAGCGCATTTGTTCCACATGTCAAAGTCAAAACCACCGCTTCGACCGCAAAGTTGAGCTGGTCGCAGCGCACACCCGGTTTGACAAGCAGGCCATGTCATGAGTCCTTTTGTTTCCACGCGGCTTTTGTCGACCTCCGTAGGCAATTATCCACGAAGACATCGGTAAAGAGGCCAAACTTGTCATTCCGACCTGACTTGTGAGATATTAATTCATTGTTAATTCGTCGTGAGTAATTCGTTTCTTTGATGTCGGCTCGTTAATTTGGTGCTTGGTTTCGTTGAAGCGTTGTCTCGGACTGATACTGTACAAACGGCATAGAGGCCCGCATCGCTAGCCTCGTTGCCCGTGGACCGACCTACCACACAAGTCCGGATGAACCCTGAACCCTAAACCTGGAACCCAGAGCACTAAAAAACACATGGCTTCCCGGCCATCTCCCTGCGCTTCCCAGGCGTTCTTTTCTCGGCACCTTCCTCTGTGAGACTGAAACTGGCCACATAAAGATGCCTCAGGCCCTTGGTCCTGGGAGGGTCTTCACTGGGCTTTGGGGTGGATTTCTATGCTTGTTGGGCCTCATCGATGTCTTACATGGCCTGGATAAAGAGCTTTTGAGCCTAAGGCTAAGGGTTCGAGGGAAGGTTCCCCTCAAAGTGTAGAATCATCCGAATATACCTGAACCTGCGACGGAAACCCTGCTCCCTACCACAAACCCTAGAGCCTTACTTTAAAGCCTCAGCCTTGAAACCAAAACATCCAAGAGTCACCGCCCTGCCGGCATGCTTCAGCTGTCCATGAAAGAGCACCGCAACTCCCTGCTGCGGACGGAGGAGCACCAGTTCCTTTGGGGCGGAGCTTAGGGTTTGGGGCTTTCCTTCTTGTTTATGGGCTTACCTAAACCTACTAAACCCTACTTTTTTGCAGGTTCTTATTACAAACCCTAATATTGGATTTATAGGGACCCTACAAAAAAGTAGCTTCTGGTGGGTTAAGGTAGGGTCTTAGAGTTTGGGGTTTAGGAACCTTAGATCCATGAACCCCGTTTCAGGACTCAGGATGGGTGCTCAAGGCTCAGGCGGTTTGGGGTTCAGGTCTTTGACTTTGGAAGTCTGTGTAGAACTCGATATCGCGTGGTCGGGTTTATGTATCTGGTGGGCATGGCGGGGGTCTGAGTCTTGCTCTAAGCTAAGTTTCTGTATCCTGAGGCAGCCAGAACCAACCTATACGGTTCAGAGTTTGGCTCTCTGTTCTTCAACAACCGGGTCTCAAAAAGTTCAATCTTTCTATAAGATAGAGCTTTTATATAAGGCAAAAAAGTTTGAAGTTCTCCCGTTCGCTATCTAAGTTGGGGTCTAGTGTGAACGAGAGCCCTCGGGAGCAACACACACACACACACACAGACACACACCCGACCCCCCGCACAACCCCAAAAGCCCTGAACACTTGGCTCGATCCGAGCCCTTTTCATCCTAGACACTTGATATCGGAGCCTTAAACAGTGAGAATAAGGCTTTTGGGGTATGTTGTACTACTTTCTTGGGGGGTGCCACAAGCGGATACCACCGGCAATTCCTCACACCTCTTTACTGAAGCCTGTCCGACCCATCACAAACTCCAACACAGCGGAGTTGGGCATGAGCCGAAATTGAAACAAAACCCCAAACCCTAAACAAAACCTGATACCCTGAACCTTAACCTAAATAAAAATGAAAACCCTAAACCCTAAACCAAAACCCCTTTAATGCCCCAAACCCTGAACTTTCCCGCCGAAACCCACAGAAACCGGCCTCCGCCGCCTCCTCCTCTGGCCAAAACAAGGTGCCTCCTCCGGAGAAGGCGTCCGGCTCCGAGAGGACGATGTTGACAGTGACCTGGGTTTAGGCTTTGGGGTTTAGGGTTTAGGGTTTGGGGTTAAGGCTTTAGGCTTTAGGGTTTAGGGTTTGGGGTTAAGGCTTTAGGCTTTAGGGTTTAGGGTTTGGGGTTTAGGGTTTAGGGCTTAGGGTTAGATTAGCTTGGAAGTTAGGGTTTAGGGCTTGCCGGGTTTGTGGGGTTTAGGATTTGGGGCTTGTTGGGTTTGTGGGGTTTAGGGTTTGGGGCTTGTTGGAAGAGGGTTTAAGGCTTAGGGCATGGAACGCTGGAACCCTGAACTCCCGAAACATGGGTAGTGTTGGTAAAATGTTGAGCCTTCAACATACAAGTCTTACTAGCTTTTCGGGTGCAGGGCAACTCAAAGGGGAAAAGGAGGGACCCTTAATGGGGACCCCTACCCTATAATGGGCTATATAATGGGTATATAATAGCTATATTGAGGGTATATACCTGGGGGTCCTTATTAAGGGTCCCTCCTTTTACCCTTTGAGTAACGGGTAAGGGTCTAGAGCCTGAACCACTAGAGTTTAATTTCCTCTAGGCTGTCCGTGCTCATTGGGAGGAGCGGGGGTGTAAATATGCATAGATACTGCTTCACAGTGCTCCCTAGATTAGAAACCCTAGACCATCAACCCTCAACCCTAAACCGGAAACCCTATATCATATAAAACCGACACGCCCGAAAGATAGCACCTCTTCTCTCGCCGAGCGGCCATTTCCTCGTCTTTGTGCGGGCCAAAGCCTCCTCCCACCTTTCAGGTTGAAGCTTTAGGCTTGAAGAGTTTAGGCTTGAGTTCAGGCTCTTAGGATTCGGGTTCAGCGTTGAGGCTTGTCTGGCTCTCGTGTAGAAGTTTTTTTGCGATCTGCGACGGTGCTCAGGATCCCTGTTACATGCCCTTTAGGGTTTAGGGTCCCCGAGTTATGGCTCTGCGGCGCTTTGCTCTTGCAGTTGGCTTTTCGGGCTGCACAGCTGGCTTAGGGTTCTAGGACATGGGGCTTTAAAGTGACGCATCCTTTCATGCTGAGGGATGAAACCCTCTGAACCCTAAACACTACACCATCCTACATGATCCTGCATGCTACAAACTCTAAACCCTGTAAACCCTAAACCCTAAACCCCTAAACCTCTAAAGCCCTAACCCCCAAACCTCTAACCCCTGAACCTCTAGAGCCCTATTAACCCTCCCTCCTCGTACCGGTTCACTGCCGGCTCGCCGGCGGCGAAAGCGAAGCGGAGCCCGGCTAAGCCGGTCGTCCTGTGCCGAAACGATGCCGTCGTTTTCAGGGTTGGCTGCGGGTTTACGGTTTTAAGGGTGTTAAGGGTTCTATAAGGGCTCTATAAGGGTTCTATCAGGGTTCCTTCAAGGGTGCCGGAACGAGGCCGTCGCTTGCAGGGCCAGAAACTGAGGTCTAGCACTTGGGGTTTGGGGTTTAGGATCTATGGGCTTTAGGGGTTTAGGGTTTAGGCTTTATGGTTTAGGGTTTAGGGCTCAGGGTGTAGGGTTCAAGGTTTCAGATTCATGAGTTAGGGTCTAGGGTTTAGGGCCCAGGGTGTAGGGCCTGGGGCTCAAGATCCATGAGTCAGGTCTAGAATTTAGGGCTTAGGGTGCAGGGCTTTGGCTGTAGGGTCCATGAGTAGGGTTTAGGGTTTAGGGCTTAGGGTGCGATGTTCTTCGCTGACTTCAAGCTCGGACGAAAACAGCCTTTCTGTGGATCTCGGATCTCGGGAACATACTGTATTGTAGGTGGAACCTATACACCCAAACCGTAGAAACCTTAAAAGTTTCACCACCGTGACGCCACTGGCTCAGCGGCGACGGGTAGCATTACAGGAGCTGCCGTTGCTTAAACACCGCACACTAAGCCCTAAACCCTAGACCCTACTCATGAACGCTAAAGCCTAAATAAGCACCCTAAGCCCTAAATGCTAGACCTGACTCATGAATCTTAAATAAACCCCAGGCCCTACACCCTGCGGCCTAGCGAACATGGCATCGTAAGCTAAATCCATGCACGCATACACGTGCATGGCCGGGAGCTTTGCTTGTATGTGTCTGTACTTCAATACAGAGGCAGCGACCAAAGTAGGGTCGCTTCCAAACCACTCCTGAGCCAGCCAATCAGCAGCAAAGTTTACCACGGAGGCACGCGTACGCCAAAAGCTCAGGCCCGCAGCCGGAGGCACCTGACCAGTGGCAGCTGAAAAAACACTCAACACATAACTCACGCCAGCATAGCTTCACAAGCAACTCAACGCAACCCAAAACCCACATCACACGCAACTGGCCTTTCGGGCCACGATGGGAGTGCCTGCAACCACAATAATCGATTAGGCTGCAAATCACACGCCACCCAGTGGCACGTAACAGAGCCTTGGGGCGAGAACTTCGCATAGTGGGCCTCACAATCAGGATCACGCTACTTCTTGTGTACCGTCACTCCCATTGGAATCCCCTCCCTCCAGTGCGACCCGTCTGGGGAGCACGACTGGCCGAGGAACTCCTTCGCAGGGCCGCTTCCACCTCAAAGATGTCATGCATCCCGCTGCAAGTATGCGATGCATCTATCCCGCAAAACGCAGCAGCCGTTTCAGAAGTGCGCCGCTGGTAACGGCAGTGGTCGAGTTTGACTCGCTCCGTGGCCACCTTCTTAAACAAACGCGCACATGCTGGCGAAACAACTGATACACTCTACACAAGATGCACAGCAACATCGAAGGCGCGGACCGCTTCCTGCACCTTACCAGTGCGTGCTAACACTCGCAGGGCTTGTCTCATAATACAGACACTTGCTAGTACAGAGACACACGCATGCAACGGAAAGGAGGCCAACCGAAAAACCACGAGCATCACAGCTTAAGGGCAACACCTCGTCGCGCCAACGCCTCGAGACCTGTACAAGATGTTGCTGAGGCCCCTTGGTATGAGTGTAATAGATGCGGGCATGAAATACGGAAAGTCTTACATCGCATCCATCCCGTGCATCTCAGACATAACACCCTTCAGTTAAATCCATGTAAGACATTCCCTCGGTTCTGTTACGCTTCGCTGTGGTCGCATGATTCTGCTCATTATGTGGCTCGTTGGAACTCAGACGACAATTCAAAAGTACGGAAGCACATTAACTTGTACGGGCGAAGCCCATAACGGCCGTAGATCATGCTTGTGTCACACCGAACCAAGACTAGTTGCTGCGAACCTGGCCAACAATCATCCGTACAAGTCTCGCAGACATAAATCAAGGCTTCAACGCCCATGTTCGAAAGGTACGCCTCTTCGTGCTTGGATGACGCGGGTAGCTGCATTGCTATGTCCAAGAGTCAGAGTCGCTACTGTACTTTTACACGGCCCCTCGGCGGCTTCAAGGCGAACAAGTAGTGAGGACATACCAACTCCAGCACTCCAAAACTGTCCCGAGCCGACGACGCGGAAGCCAAGAGTGTCATCAACCTTCGCGTCAGCATAGCTTAGGATGCACAGAGGAAGCCAGCAGGACCCACAGATGAGCGATGTTGGTAAAATCGATTACGCGGGGCGATACCCTGGAATCATGCTATTACCACTACCACTGCTATTGCTACTGCTAGCACTACTACTACTACTACTACTACTACTACTACTACTACTACTACTACTACTACTACTACTACTACTACTACTACTACTACTACTACTACTACTACTACTACTACTACTACTACTACTACTACTACTACTACTGCTACTACTACTACTACTACTACTACTACTACTACTACTACTACTACTACTAATTACTACTATCATGCCACTACTATACTACTATCACGACTACTACTGCTACTACTACTACTACAACTACTAGTACTACTACTACTACTACTACTACTACTACTACTACTACTACTACTACTACTACTACTACTACTACTACTACTACTACTACTACTACTACTACTACTACTACTACTACTACTACCTAGACCCTTAACTCATGAATCTGAAACCCTAAACCCTACACCCTGAGCCCTACACCCTAGACCCTAACCCAAGAACCCTAAACCCAAACCCTAGTCATGAACCCTACCAGTACAGCCCAAACCCTACACCCTGAGCCCTAAACCCTAAACCCTAAATCATAAAGCCTAAACTCTAAACCCTAAACCGCTAAACCCCATAGGCTCTAAACCCGAAACCCAAAAGACCCTAAACTCTAAACCCTAAACCCCTAAACCCCATAGACCCTAAACTCAAACCCTAACAGCCCCTGTCCTCTCAAAGACCTGCTGGGCCAAGGAGGGTAAAGCCTCGAAGAAGCCAAGCAGCCGTACCAGGATCTGCTCCGACACCCCCTGGGGGCCCAAAGAAGGAGGCAGTTTAGGGTTTTAGGGTTTAGGGTTCAGGGTTCAGGGTTTTAGGGTTTAGGGTTTGGGGTTTAGGGTTTAGGGATGTTTCAGAGCTGTGCGGTAAACGATACGATCTAGAATTGCTTCCACTGTTGCTTTGGAATGGGGGCCACGGTTGTTGGGCGTGTCTGTTAAATTGAAACACACCCTTATAGTACCTAACAGGAATCCCTATCGAACTCTTACACTAATCCTTAAAGGAGCCCTTAAAGGAACCCATACAGAACCTTTAAAGTAACCCTTGAGGGTTCCGTTAAGGCTTCCCTTAAGGCCTCCTTAAGGGGACCTTTAAGGGGATCCCTTAAGGCCCTGAGGGGATCCCTTGAGGCCTCCCTTGAGAGGACCCCGAAGGGAGCCGCCTGAGCCCCGGAGCTCAGATCAGACAGCGGAAGACGGTCGAGGCCCTCGCGGCAGGAGGCGTACCTTGTGGCTTTGGAGGGTGGAGGGGTTTTAGGGGTTTAGGGGTGCAGGGGTTCAGGGTTTAGGGAGTTGGGGTCAGGGGTTTAGGGGTTTAAGGGTTTAGGGTTTGGGGTTTAGGGCGTCTACAGGGTTTAAGCTTCAGTTCTTAGCGAAGCTTGAGGGTGTTAGGGATTGTAGACGGTATACATGTGGATGCGTTCTGCAAAGCTTAATCTAGGCACCTTTACCATCAGATAAGTCTTCTCTCCAGAGACTTGTAACAGTATAGGCGTTTTAGTGCCGCTGCCTTGGGGTTTTGGGGGGTAGTTCTGTGGTTTGGGGTTTGGTAACCGAGAGGCCTGCAACTTAGAATAGTGTTTCAAGCAGGGTGTTCCTGGGACCTTTTAAAGGGCTTGTAGGCTTGCAAAGACTTTGACAACTTATTACAGGGTTTTGGAGGTATTGCGGTAAAAACATGTCAATCCGTGAACCACCGAAAAGTGAGTCTTAACCCAAAGAACCTCGACAAGTCCAAAGGGCGACTCTGATGACGCTAGCTTTGCTGCCGCCGGCTGCAAAGCGACCCTCTGATCCACGGCTGCCCACAGGAGCTGGCAGTCAAGCTGACTGAGGAAGTTCGGGATCAGCACCAAGCTGTTGCGTGTGAAGAAGGATCGCGGAGCCCCAATGGCTACCTGAGCGGAGATCTTAGCTGCTGTCACGTCACAACCCTAAACTAAAAACCCTCAACCCTCAACCCTAACCCTAAACCCTCAACCCTAAACCCTACCTAACTACACTGAGATGCTGGACTGTCTCAAGACAAGCATACCATAAACAAGATGCCATCATCTACGGTGACTGAGTCAACCCTGAACCCTCTACCTTAAACCGCAAAACCCAAAAGCCCTGAACCCGAAGCCCTGTAAATTGCCCTAAGGGTCCATGTACCCAAAGAGTATATACCGCGGCCAAAAAGGACCTAACTGGGCTCTACAGTAAGGCCAAAGTATCTATATACTATTTGGGTACATGGACCCTTCGGTTCATAAACCGAAAACCTGCAAGCAGCCTCATAGTAGCCGAGTGCTTCTTTGCCAGGTCTCAACGTCTGGACCTTGGCATGACTCCGAGCTTTCCGGCAGTAAGTTTAATGTCAAGGGAGTTCTATCAAGGTTCTGGGCATTCTTCTTTGTAGTGTTGCTTATATACATATGTATATATATATACATACATACATACATGCATACATACCTATATATATATGTATATATATATATATAGCTTTGTGAGCACTTGCAGGGTTCTTATCGTGCTCTTTCAATTTAGGGGAGTTATATCGGACCTTCATGGTCTTGTAGGGTTTTGAGCTCGTGCTTCGTGTGCGCGATACCAGTAAGAGCTTCCATTTTGGAGTTTCCGAAAATAGGGCACCCTAATATAGTACCCTAAGTAGTAGGATCCTTATTATAAGGACCCCAAAATAAGGTCCCCTAATTTCCGGAAACTCCCATTTGTCGAACAGGGTTTCTGGAAGGGTTGTGTTGAGGGCTCCACAAAGATTGCTATACGGCCTTTTTCCCTAAACCCTAAACCCTAAACCCTAAATAAGATATGGTTTTGGCTCTGGGGGATCTAAGCTTCCACCCAGTCGCGTGTAGGGCATTCATCTCTGCTGGGCCGTAGAAGCTCTGCGCTACCGATGGCACGGAAGGGAAGACCACCTGGTTCTTGGGTTTAGAGTTGGGGATTTGCGCCTAGTTTGTTTTAAGATGTTTTAAGGTTTAGGTTTCAGGGCCTAGCGTTGCGGGTTGCTGATCGGAAACAAAGCTTTAGCTGGATCATCTAGAGGACTTTCTAAGGTATCCATAACAGCTATCAGAATTTGTATGGAGGCTTTAAGGCTGTAAAGAGGACTCTCTATGAACCTATAAGAGTTATCACTTTTTTAATGGACCTAGATGGCTTCTTCGAAATGCTATCAAAGTTTCGAAAGGCTTTGTAGCACATGGCTTTCAAGGTTTAGGCTTTAGGGACATAGGATTTGGGGTTAAGGAGCGATTCACACCCATCTAGTTGTAATTCGCGTTGTTCTCAGGTTTAGATTTTAGGGCTTGAGGTTTAAACCACAAAAAGCAACCCAATAGACTTCCAGGCAAGTTCTGTACTTACGGGGTACCCAAAACCCGTGGGTCCTGTAAATCCGACTGATCCTACCAACCCCCTTTCGGGAACCATTAAAGGAACTACAGATACCCTCTTAGTACGGTTGATGATATAAATCCTGCATTACCTTAAAGACCCTACACTATGGGAATAATGGTATTCTCCTTCTTATGGCTAACGCAGGACTCATTCTGAAGGCCCCTGTATTATGGCTCACCTCTCCATGACCGTCTCGAAAGAGCCGGGCACCCGGACGGCCGACGGGCACCTGAAGCACAGCTCTTGATGATAATTATAGGATCCTTTGGTTTAAGGGGGGAGGGTATAAGGAATCCTTAGGGGACTGTAAGGGAACCTTAGGGAGTACTAGGGAGAATTAGGGATCACTAGGCTATATACCCCCTTGGACCCCCCTCCCTTAAGGATACTACAAGATAAGGACCCCTACTTCGAGGATCAGGGGACTTAGCAAGTTAGGTCATAAGTACCTGAACTGGGGTTTGCAAGTAATGACAAGTATAGTTACCGCAAGGATAACCCTAGTTACTAAGCCCCAGGATCCCGTTAAGTTAAAACATACAGTCACTCATATTCCTAAGGAGCCCTCCATATTCCTAAGGAGCCCTCATACTCCAGAGCCTTCGTAAGCCGCAATTCAAGCCCGACGTATAGCCTAATGTAGTTGATTTTAGGCGGGTTTGGGGGTTCCTTACAATAAGTATAGTATGATATACCCCTAAACCCTATTCTAATTATCAAGGCCCCTGTATAGAATCCTGGCAGGAACCCACAATCCCTGATTCCCTGAATATCAATGTGAGATGGCCGAGCCCCGGATACGCTGTAGGTTCCTAAGACACGAACCTCTGGTGTAAACCGGGTATCAGCGGGGCATTACGGGGAGGAAGGACACCCCAAGGCTCGCGCCAAACCTAGCACATGGGAGGGATCCATGGGTGCGGAGCTGGAGAGAGGTTCGAGGACATGGAACAAGGGCACACGTGTACCCTCAGAGTTGGTAAGAGCGTTACGATTATGAGTATGTTGGCTCTCTGAGTTTTTCTTCAGCTCCGGATATCACCATACTAGAAGGGCCTGAATCATTAGAATCAGGTGCTACGGTTGATGATATAAACGCTGCATTGCCCAGAACAAGGAATATACCACAATTCCCATAGTCTAGGGTCGTGAAGGTGATGCAGGATTTTTTATCATCAACCGTAGGAGCCTTTGTAATACTACCAATATCTTCGGAAACTGAACCGAATACTGCTGATCGTTCCGACCTCTTCCTAAACGCTGAACCCTGAACCCGAAACCCTAACGGTAACCCTAAACCCCTCAGCCCACAAAACCGGGGTCTGCTCCAAGTAGCCAAACTCCGAGGATCCACCGTGTAGAACACAACCCGGCAGCTCCTTTCCGCTTTGCTCCGCAGCTTGTAGACAAGGATATATAGACGTTAAGGGTTTAGGGTTTTAAGGTTTAGGGTTTAGGGTTTAGGATTATGAACGTTTAGGGTTTACCTGGACCCTAAGGAACCTACCTTTTTAGGACCCCTAATATGATTTCTTTAACCAAGTCCCTAAAAAGGTAAGTTATTTGAGGTTAAGGTAGGCTTGCTGGCTTTAGGGTGGGTTCAGGGTTCAGGGCTCAGGGGTTCCGAGCATGCGACTTTAGGGTTTAGGGAATTAGGGTTTGGGGTTTAGGGTTTAGGGGTTTTCGGTTTAGGGCTTAGAGTTTAGCGTTTACGGTGTGAGGGGGAAAAGAGCTTGCTTATGTTTCCACAACATGGGTGTGTCGGTGTGTGCATGCTTGAAATATTGTATACCGTGTAAACAACTACATACATGCATATGTACATATACAAAACTGACTCATAGAATACCTGAATGCCGGTATGCATGCATGCATGTATGAATGTACCTGTGCGTGAATGTATGTAACAATAACGGCATGCAACATGTAACATGTACGTACCGTGCCTGTGTAGATATGCTCTATGACTGGATACATACATGTGCGCGTATGCAGGCATTGCTGTCTGTCTGCGACCCTCTGTCCGTCAGTCTGTCTGCCTGTCCGCATGTACACTTGGATGCCTGCACGTCTGTGTCTGTATGCGCCTGCATGTGCACATGTATCCGCACCTATGTATGCATGTATGCATGTAGTTAGATACTATACATGCATGCATGCATGTATGTTTGCTTTTGTATGTATGTACGAATGAATGAACGTATGAACGAATGAATGGATGCTTGCATTTTTGCACGTACGTATGCATTTATTTATAGATGTATGCGTGCATGCGCGTATGCGTGCACCATCGCACAGTACAGCGGATGTCTGAAGGGCTGACTTTCAACTCGGGGCTCCTGCTCAGGATCTTCCGCTCCCAGGTGGCCCTAAACCCCTGAATGAATACTCCGTTGACCACGACTCCGATCTTTAGGGTTCCGGGGTTGAGGGTTTAGGGGTTCAGGGCTTAGGGTTGAGCGTTTAGGGTTTAGGGCATAGGAGTTTAAGGCTTAGGGCTTAGAGCTATATTACGTGGGCCACGAATCCGATCCCCAGGACCGTAACCTGACGAGACTGAACCCGAGGCCCCACGCCAAACCCCACCCTAAACCCCTAAACCCCTAAAACCCTAAAACCCCCTCGGATTGTCTGCTGACTGCTTGCATAAACCCCCAAACCCCTAAACCCCTCAACCCCTAAACCCTTCAACCCTAAACCCTAAACTCCTAAACCCTTACACCCTAAACCCCTAAACCCTTACACCCTGAACCCCCAAAACGCTAAACCCTAATCCTTGTAAATCCTACACGCCCTCAACCCAATATAACCCTTACCGTTCCTAAACCCTTACACCCTAAACCCCTAAACCCTTACACCCTGAACCCCCAAAACGCTAAACCCTAATCCTTGTAAATCCTAAACGCCCTAAACCCAATATAACCCTTACCGTTCCTAAACCCTTACACCCTAAACCCCTAAACCCTTACACCCTGAACCCCCAAAACGCTAAACCCTAATCCTTGTAAATCCTAAACGCCCTAAACCCAATATAACCCTTACCGTTCCTAAACCCTTACACCCTAAACCCCTAAACCCTTACACCCTGAACCCCCAAAACGCTAAACCCTAATCCTTGTAAATCCTAAACGCCCTAAACCCAATATAACCCTTACCGTTCCTAAACCCTTACACCCTAAACCCTAAACCGTCAGCGAGGCTCCTTTGCTCTTCTCCCTCGCATTGGACCTCGTACTCAGGACCTTAGTGGGTTCTTCTTAGGGAACTTAGTTTAAATTACCACGATAGGGATCTATGCGGGCTTCTTCAAAGGATCCTTAAGGGTCTGTTTTGGGTTCAGGCATAATAGGGATCTATACGGGTTTCTGTTAAGTGATCCGTAAGGGTTGCTTTAGGGGTTAAGGAATTCAATTTCAATTACCAAAACAGGGATCTATGGTAAATAGTATGGTTTCTGTATTAAATAATATGGTTTCTGTCTTATGATGGCTTCAATTAGATTCCTTAACAATGGCCCAGCTTAGCAGTGGCGAGATGGAGGGCTTTGGGAGAGTCCAGGGCTTAGGGGTTCAGGGGTGTAGAGCTTAGGGTTTACGGCTTCGGGTTCAGAGTTTAAGGTTACCAGGGGATCCAGGGTTCAGGGTTTAGGATAAAGGGGCCCCAACAAGCACATAAGCATAAGCATTTTAGAGGGATATCCCTACCTTAGTGGCCTTCATTATAAGGGGCTTTATATGGGATATCCCTATCCTAATTTTTGCTTATGTGCTTTTTTGAGGCCCTAAATGTGGTGCTGGTGATGGTAGTGGTAGCAAAACTAGCAGCCGCCGTCGTGGTGGCGGTGATGCTGATGGCGACGTTGCTTGTCGTTTGCACCCGTAGCGCCCCCGTAGCAGCAGCAGAAAAAAACAGCAAAATCACGATACTAAAGTTACTAAAGGTAAATGCAGTCATCATGCAACGCTCAGGAAGGTTCTGAAACTAACAGTTATGAGGAAAGCAGGCGCTGTTGCAGCAACTGAGCTCTCTGCAAGCAAGACGCTCTGCGCCGTTCCAGAAACAGCCAGCAGTCGTAATGCCACATTCGGCTGGGCAAGCGACTACGGTCTGCCAGAGACCTTCATCAACAATAATAGCCGAGGCTATCCTGGCCTCTCCACAACAAAAGAGTGTACAACAGCAGACATTAGATTCCTCGCAATCAGCCATTCCTTCGCTCCATCTCCATCACAAAGCGGCGCATCGGTAGGGAAAGTCTCCCACTAGGGCACCAGGTCAAGCAAAACGGCATGCCGTACCATGGCCAAAGCTAATCTATCACATGGGCAGAGAGCCTGCTCGAAATCTACTTCCAACACCTTGAGAAATGAGCCTGCAAAAGCGAAGCCGCAGGCAAGACCTCTTGGCCAGAACAGCTGCAGCAACTGCAGCAGCGGTGCGAATCTGTCAAGCGAAGTTTTGCCCGGCAAACCCCAACATCTGGAACCTTCCAATTATCCTTATTGACGAGGAGGGTCTCCACTAAGCCTGCTCTTGCAACTCGATAGACGACCGTAACCCTAAACCGATCTACATCTTATAGCCAGGGCCCTAAACCCTTAAACCCTAAACTCGACCTACATCTTGGACCCTCAAATAGCAGAACCCTACTATAACCGTAAAACCCGTCCAAAGCCCTGCAAACTCCCCCAAAGCCATAGCCCCCAGAAGCCCATGCCTGGCAGGTGTGGAGCAACTCCGGAATATCGTATCTCCTTAGGGCCGCGACTTCTCTAATTTGTGAAAGGCACTGAGATTCATCACCGAAATCCCCACACCCCCAAACCCTAAACTCTAAACCGTAAACCCTAAACCCCCAAACCCTAAACCCTAAACCCCCCAAACCCTACATCCTAAACCCTAAACTCCAAATTCGAGTCTTAAAGAAGTCTCGGCCGAGCCTTACAGAAAAGTTGGCTCTACTTACCTAGTTCATGGTTGGGATAGGATTAAAAATTAAATTGTGTAATCCTTATTGGGTTTAAGTACCCATAAAAATGTAAAATATTACCCAACCATGACAAAGTTACAGGGGCCCAAAAAATAATTACAAATACTATTGTGGCGATTCCTTATTACAAGCATAGTATACTGTACCTCAAAACCCTGTTCTAATTATTAAGGCCTCTATGTTATAGTGCCCTATTATAGATCCCTTATAGAACCCCTTTAAAGGAGCCCTTAAAGGAACCCTATATATGAAGAACATTGGAGGTGCCGTAGAGATGCAACTGTATGTAGGGTTTAGAGTTTGGGGTTTATGGTTTAGGGTTTGTGATATGTATACAAACGCTTCTATTACCAGACTTCCCCGATACCCTGCCCTCTGAACCCTAACCCTGACCCTGGAACACCACAAGCACTAGGGCACACTTTGTGGTTTCAGCGGCCCCCGACCGTAGCTCTGAATTCTTAGGGCTTGAGGGTAAACCCCAAAAAAACCGAACCCTAGCCCCCAATCCCGCAACCCCGAACCCTAAACCCTAAACCCTAAAACCCTAAACCCTAAAACCCTAAACCCTAAACCCTAAAACCCTAAACCCCTAAACCCCTAAACCCTAAAACCCTAAACCCTAAACCCTAAACCCCTAAACCCCTAAACCCCTAAACCCTGAATCCAAGTTTGTTGGTAGAAATGCCGAACCCTGAACCACGGATCCCCAACCTCATCCCTAAAGCCTGGCCCCTTTTCTAACCAGGTAACACCTGGACCCTAAGGAAGCTGCCTTTTTAGGGTTCCCTAAAATGGTTTCTTTACCTAATATGGTTTCTTTATATAAGTCCTTAAAAAGGTAGGTCACTTGGGGTTAAGGCAAACTTATGACTACTACAAGCTCCAATCAATGTTCTTATAACCTGATTTACTATGCCCCTCCCCCGGTCCTCCAAGTAATCCCCACCTAAACCCTCATCCCAATCCCTAACCCCCCAATCCCTAAAGCCTAACCCCCTAAACCCTAAACCACGAAACACAGCCCAAAACCCCAAACCCCAAATCCTAGATCTCGCAATTCCTCAAACCTAACCTCCTAAAACCCGTAAAACCCCCCTCAACCCTAAACCCTACTTTAGTCCCCTAAACCCAAGTACCGGGCTTCGAAATCAGCAGGCGAAAAAGTAAAGCCGTCTATTTCATGATGGTTCCCTTTAAGTTTCAGATCCCGAAAAAGTACTAAAGCATGGTCAGTTTAGGGTTTAGGGTGAGTACTTAAAGGATCATGGGACTTAGTAAGTAGGGTTATAAGTAGGTTATAATTAGGATAACCCCACTTAGGGGACTTATCACCCCAGTTACAACCTACTTACTAAGTCCCATGCTCCTCTAAGTAGACCCTAAACCCTAAACCCTATAGATCCCTCTAAGGAAGCCGATAGATCCCTTTAAGAAGCCCTTTAAGGAACCTTACTTACTAAGTCCCATGATCCTCTAAGTAGGTCAGGTGGCTCCAGCCGCTGGAGCAACTCGGAGCAGGCTGCGACCTGCTCCAGAAAACGGGGGGCTGGCTTTGGGTTTCGCGGCTTCGAGTCTAAAGGCTTCATGGGGTTTACAATTAGGATCTAGAGGGTTTAGGGATTAGGCTTTGGGTTTTCTACAGGGTTTAGGGATTAGGCTTTGGGTTTCAAGGTTTTTGTCTTATACTGCTTTTGGGTTAGAACTTGTAGGGTTTATAGGGCTTCTAGGGTTTTTGAAGGTTTATCGGATGTATAGGGTTTATGGGGCTTATAGGAGTTATAAGGTTTGTAGGATATTTCGGATATGTAGGGCTTGGAGGGTTTATTAGGGCTTTTGGATTAGAGTGCGAGGTTTAGGGTGCAGGGGTAAGGGATTTAGGGTTGCGGGATTAGGGTTTGGGGATTACGGAACAGGGTTTAGGATGTACGGATTAGGGTTTCGCGCGTTGTGCTTTTGTGGGAGCCCTTCAGGGTTTGGGGCGGGTGGGTTCCGAGTTCAGGGTCTCTAGGGTTGAGGATTAGGAGCTTCAGGACTTTGGGATCTAAAGTTGTTGGTTTAGGGGGTTGGGGGTCTGGGGCTTCGTTACAGGTATATTCCTGGGGACGCAGTGTGCATGCAGGACGGTTCCGGCCTTTGGGCACTATCATCTAAGCGTCTATTCTGAGGGCTTCTCAAACCGAGTCTCGTGAAGCAACGGCGAGCAAGGGCTGAATAGTATACCTAAACCCTCCACCCTAAACCCGAAATCCTAAACCCTAAACCCAGGTCCAGACCTCCCCGGAAGGGAGCGACATCATCGCAGTCGCGGACGCCTTCAAGGCAAAAACCTTGGCAAGGCACAGGATGCGGCATGTGGGCTTTTCTTTCCATGCATGCTAGTCAGCTTCAAACCTATGTGCATACGTTTATTTGCAGACGCGCACACGCACACAGACTCATAAGTGATTGAACACTTAGAGAGAAAGGTAGATAAAGAGAGATAAAAATATAGACAAAGACATGGATAGAGATATAGGCGTTGTGTACAGGCCTGGGACTATGACGTATTCAAGATCGCCGAAGATCATTCCAATATATATATATATATAATATATATATATATATATATATATATTACTCTAAAAAGTAGGATCCTTGTAAAGTGGAATAAGGACCCCAAAATTTGTTACCCCGAATTTTCGGAAACTCCCACCCTCAACCCTAAACCCTCCAAACCTTCACCCGGGTTACCGGACCCAGGGTTGAACTAAACACCGTGAAAAGTCCCGAGGTTCAGAATGGAAATCCAGGGTCTTTACGATGATAAGTGCAACAAAGAGCCCGACGGAAAAATGTGGTTAATGTAGGAACCTGACTAAGAAACGCTGGGCCTTTATAAGGGCTCCTTGTATGAATCCTACTATTTTGGGGTTTTGGGCACAAGGATTCTTAATCAGGTTCCTACATTAATCAGCTTCCTACCCTGCCCCCAAGACTCTTACAAGCAACGACCTTAGAGCTGAAGTTTGCTTTGGGGCATAGATATAGCGTAAAATCGTTCAAAATCGGCGTAGTTTTAGGGCTTAGGGCGCCCGCGTTTCTGACTCCTATCCTTGCGAAAACCCCTCTAGGTCGTCAGCCAGGCACCCTCCAAAGAAACCCTGCAAAGTACCCTCTGCGAATTATTACGGCTCTTACATGAGGCCGCTTTAGGTCCGTCCCAAAACGAACGCTAGCTTGAAGCCTCACGTCTAGCTCCACAGAGCACCCGGCACTGATCCCTAAGCGCTCAGGGTTTCTGTAGGTTTTTGCGAGGGGTTCGGATATAGGGCTTATAAGGGTAGCTATATGGGAGTTTCCCAAAATAAGGGGTACCTTATTTTGGGGTCCTTAGATTAAGGACCCTACTATTCGGATATAGGGCTCAGGGTAATTACAGGGCTTCAGGGTTTAAGGTTCAGGGTTTAGTGGGGTTTAGGGTTTTAGGGTTTAGGGCTTCAGGGTTTTAGGGTTTAGGGTTTTAGGGTTTAGGGTTTCAGGGTTTAGGGTTTAGGGTGTGGGGTTTAGGGTTTAGGGTTTTAGGGCTAAGGGTGTGGGGTTTAGGGTTTAGGGTGTGGGGTTTAGGGTTTAGGGTTTTAGGGTAGTTTAGGGTTCAAGATGTAGGATTGAGGGGCTAGGCTGAACCCCACTGAGACAGACGCCACTATCAGTGAAACTCCTCGGTAGGCCATGCTCTTCTTCGCTATCGGGGCGATTTACCTCCCAGGGCTTGGCGTTACTCTAAACCCTAAATCCCCAAACCCTGAACCCTAAGCCCCTAAACCCCTAGACCCCTAAACCCTAAACCCTAAACCCTAAACCCCTAAACCCCTAAACCCTAAACCCTAAACCCCTAAACCCTAAAACCCTAAACCCCTAAACCCTAAACCCCTAAAACCCTAAACCCCTAAAACCCTAAAACCCTAAACCCCTAAACCCTAAACCCCTAAACCCTAAAACCCTAAACCCCTAAACCCTAAACCCCTAAAACCCTAAACCCTACACCCTAAACCCCTAAACCCTAAACCCCTAAAACCCTAAACCCCTAAACCCTAAAACCCTGAATCCAAGTTTGTTGGTAGAAAAAGGGTCCTTTTTCCCTGGAGCTTGGGGGGCTTGTGGCTCGGGTTTACTTACCTTTGGTTAGTAGGGAATGGGGAAGAATGGTAGTTATATAGTCGTTATAGTAAAAATAGGAACAATAATAATCGTAATAGTAGTAACAATAGTAGTAATAGTAGGTAGTTATATGATAGTAATATGATAGTAATGTGGTAGTAATATGATGGTAATATGGTAGTAGTATGGTAGTAATCGTAGTTATACTTGTACCCCATTCCTCCATTCCCTACTAACCAAAGGTAAGCATAGGGGAGGATAAGGAGAGCTTCCGGGGTCAGTAGCTCAGAAATAGGGCCTTGGGGGGCAGATCGTACCATAAGCAAAGAGCCGGAGCCTTGAGGGTTCCTGTAGGCACTGTAAGGGTTCCTTTAAGGGATCTATAAGGGCTCTATAAAGGGTTTAGGGTCTAGAGTTTCCGAAAATTAGGGGTACATTATTTTGGGGTCCTTGTAATGAGGATCCTACTATTTAGGGTACCATATAAGGGTCCCCTTGTTTTCGGAAGATCCCATATTGGAAGTCTTGATGCTTCTGTTGTAGGCTCCGTGTGGCTTCACGGCAGCTCGAAGTTCTAGAGCTTGGGATCTTAAAGTTCACGGCTTGGGGGCTTTGGAAGCTTTCGGGCATTTTGCGGCTTCGTGAGCTTGGGAATTTGAGCTCAAGATTTTACGGCTCCAAGTCTGGACTCGGTTCTTCGAACTGCGGGTGGCGATGTCGGGGGTCGGAAGATTCGCTTCAAATTCAATTTTCTGTTGTAGCGGCTAGAAGAAAACTGGACCTGGCATCTTGGGTTTAGGATTTCGGGGCTTGGCGCTCGGGGCCTTACGGGCTCAAAAGCTTAGAGGCTTCCGTAAGGCCTCAAAGCTAACCCCTGAAGTAAAACCCAAACCCCCAAATCCCAAACCCTAAACCCCAAACCCTAAACCCTAAACTGCAAACCCTAAACCCCAAGCCCTAGGCTGGCAGTTGCCGGCCGGCCTTCACTGTACGAAGAGAAAGGCATTCTCCTTGCCCCCCCCTTGAGCCGATAAAGCTGCGTCGCCGGAGAATTGGGGCAACACAGCCGCGGATCCGCTAAAATGTTTTAGGATCTATAAACGGGTTCAAGGGGGTTTAGGGTTTAGAGTTTAGATTGAAGCTTTAGGGTACTCGGAACCTTCCCTGAAAGGTCCTTTCTCTGGGCGGGGATAGGCTCGAACAGCTGGACAAGGAGAAGGTGAAGGGTCAAAAATTGCAAAAGCTGCTTTGCAGCGGGAGTCATCCTACCCTGCAGCATTGCCAGCGTTCGCAGGTCAAGTCGCGAATGTAACGTTGCATCCTGGCTGCACATCTGTGGCTGTGTTAAAAATTTGCGACGGCCGTTCGATTAGAAAAGTTGCACCCACCAGGCCAGCCAGTGACTGCAGCAAGCGTGTTGAGAAGCTTTTTTCTTCGGCGAGGAATCCTCATCCTTCATGCCAGGAATGTTAATATCGCTCTTGCTGCAAGCCTCTTCAGTGCTGGTTCCTGCCTCCATCCTGGTCCCGGCCGAGACGGTGTCCATGGTGACCATGTAAACAGAGCCCAGTATCAGTGCCACTCCTGCCAGCGTCACTCCATCAGGCATGATGCCCATTACCACGATTTGGCCTACGTAGCCAAAAAGAATGTCCTGGGCTTTTGGCAAAGCAACATATCATCAACTACTCAAACTACTCATCCCCGCTGTTATAACATGCTCTACCATAAGCCCTATAACTTAAACCCTGAACCCTAACTAAACTTAAATCCCCGAACCCTAAAACGCTAAACCCGACCCAAAACCTGCGTCCCGTAACACGAACCCAGTCTCGCAGCATGTGACGATCACTCCACTGGTACTTGCCGGCGCCATGGCCGAACCGACGCTGACGAGAACCGTCTGCATGGCAACGAGGACTACCAAGATAAGCACCCAGAGCGCGGCGAGGCCTCCATGGGAGCTAGGGCCTATGTAGGCCCTACCTGGACCCTAAGGAACCTACCTTTTTAGGGACCCTTATATAATATGATTTCTTTATATAAGTCCCTAAAAAGGTAGGTTATTGGGGTTAAGGTAGGGCTGCAAGGGTTCAGGGTTGAGCGATTCCACCATGAAGATGAGATTTTCGTGGTTTGGGGTCTAGGGTCTGCCGCAGAAGCGGCATTAAGGGCATGGCAGGAGCAGCTAGGTATCGAACTGCGAACGGGTACTTCTGGAGCCAACTGGAAGAAGCAGCCTTCGTGAATCTGTCAACCCAAAGCCATATAAACCTCAGACATCATATCCCGCAATTGTCCCCATATAGCTGTGCAATAAACCTGCAATAATGTAATATAGTAGAATACAATACAGAACAGTATAATATAGTGTAAGACAATATAATGCAATCGCCTGGATGATGGCCGAGAATCTCCACCGAGGTGGCAAGGTCCCGGTTCCACAAAGGCAGGGCTGCCAGCAGCAGGGTCATGGCACCACGCTGGGCGCTAGCAGAAAGGCTGGAGACCAGGGGTGACACCTCTGCTGTTGATCCACAGTCCCTTATAAGGATCCCCAGAAGATTTTCAGGAGCATTTCCTGGTGTAGTGGGGTCACTGCATACTTGCTGTAGCCATTCCATTCCTCTCGCCTTCAATCTGATATGGGAGTTTCCGAAATTTAGGTGGACCATATTCTGGGGTACCTATGATAAGAATCCTACGTTTTTGGTACTATATTAGGGTCCCCTATGTTTGGACACCCCCATATGCTGAATTGACAGCGGTGCCTCCTTCCCAAGCTTTCTGCAGCAGACGATGAGACCACTCAGTCCCAAGCCGCCCACCGAAGCAAAAAAGTAGCCTCGGCTTTTCGGCGATCGAGACGTCATGTGCTCACAAAGTAGACAAAGCCACATGGCTCTTCTTGTTACTACTATTCCCAATGTTGCGGCGGTATCGATGCCCACATCACAACTATGCAGCCTGAGCTGTTCCAACACTACGTACGGGTATTGCTGCGTGTTCTAGGCCCACCACCACTACCGCCGCCTACACCCAGCCCTACCCCGGGTCACTGCCACCACCACCCTCACCACCAGCTACGACAGCTGCGACATCGACTACGCCTGCTGCGACTACGACTACTGCTTGATACAACCCTAAACCCTAAAACCCACACCAGAAAACCCTAAACCCTAAAACCCAAAACCGAAAAGCCTAAACCCAAACCCCCAAACCCCAAAACCCCAAAACCCTGAACCCTATTGATCTTGACATGTCACCAAGGTAGGGCTGATCCTTGACACTGGTGAAGAGAAACCTGGGAGCTCCGCGGCATAGGGCCGTGGGGTTGAGTTCAAGAGTGTAGGGTGTAGGGCCTTAGGGTTAGGGGTTAGGGTGTAAGGTTTAGGCTGTAGGGCTTAGGGTGTACGGTTTAAGGTGTAGGGTTCAGGGTTTAGGGTTTGATCTGGGGCCTAATAGCCTAGTAGTTTCAGCATTGGTCGTTGGTGCTGACGGGATTTGCGGATTAAGGGTGCAAGGAGCACCATATTCTTAAATACAACTGCAATACTGCTATTCCAAACCAGTCAGTTAAGAGGTAAATTGAACCTTAGCTTAGTCTACAGTCTAGAGCTTCAGGGGTCTCGGGGTTAAGAGTTTTGTTGGAAGTTACACCCACATGCTCCGATCCCGATCAGTTCAGTTCCGAATGCCCTGCCATCTCCACGGAGAGCCACAAGTCAAAAAAAACTGTCGCGCTTACTCCTGCTACTGCTTACGTTGGAAGAATACACCGGAGGTCTAGACGTACTGGAAGCAAGGAAATGCGGAAAGGTAAGTCAGTAACGTGCGCGACTGCTGTTCTCGGGCTTAGCCGCTCTGGTTTCGCGACGAGGACCGCCCCAGCCATAGTGGCAAGCACGGCAGCAACCTTCCATTTGCCGAAAGCTTCCCCGAACAGCAAACATCCGGCCACAGCCGATGCTAACACGTTGGTGCTCCCCATCACCAAGGCATCACCAGCGGGGCAGCCGAAGACCGTGGCCACAACGAAGCCTCCCAGGGAGAAGACGCTGGAAAAGCCACGAGCAAAGAGCCAAACCTTCTGGCTGGAGGAGGTCGGCCACTGCACTTGGCTTTGGCTGCACAGCTGCACCAGCAAACCTGCATCTCGTTGAAACAAAAGCTCAGGTGGTAAGTTCTGCTCCGTGTTCGACAAGGCGTGAACTGATCCCGTTTCGTTCTGCTCATTGAAAAAATCCTCATAACCCTAAACCCTAAGCCCGAAACTTAACACCCTGAACCCTCCCAAACCCTAAAAACCCCAAAAGGCATGTTAAACCAAACCCACGGGTCCCAATGTCATGATGACGCAGGCGACGCCGAGCATGGCAAAGGCAGGCCAGCCTTGATGCTCCAGCCAATCGCTGACCACAACCTCGGCTCTTGTACTAAGGAAACGAATAGAATTATACATAAGTATATACTCATGTACGTATATATATATATACACGCACATATATATATATATATATATATATATATATATATATATGTACATACAGCTATGTGTACTCATATATATATATATATATATAGACCGATAGATATATTGCACATGTAAGTATGTATTGATGTCTGTATGTATGTGTGTGTATGTGTGTGTATGCATGCATGCATGCATGCATGCATGCATGCATGCATGTATGTATGTATGTATGTATGTATGTATGTATGTGTGTAGGTATGTATGTGTGTATATATGAATGTATGTATACATGCATGTATGTATGTATGTATGTGTGCAGGTATGTATGTATGCATGCATGTATGCATGCATGTATGCATGTCTGCAAGTATGTATGTATGTATGTATGTATGTACGTGTACACACATGTGCAAAGACTTAAATACACATACACGTGGATGCAAACTGATACAAATACAGGTGTTAGAAATAATATAGATACGAATCTGGGTCCAAATGTTGGCGTAGATACAGCTGCAGTTGTAGATGGAAAAGTAGACACAGCTGTGTTCTTGTGCGTACATACCTACATATGCACGCACATATATGTATATATATATACACACACACCTTCAATACACCATACATGATGAGGACGGAAGAGAGAGAGAGAGAGAGAGAGAGAGAGAGAGAGAGAGAGAGAGAACGTACATACGTACATGGTACATGTATGCATGCATGCATGCATGCATGCATGCATGGGTGTATGTATATGTTTGTACGACACATATAAACATACGTGCCATGGCCCTTTGTGTATAGTTTGAGTCAGTCTTTGGTCGATTGCATGGGTAAAGCTTCGGCAGGGTGACATGCTCGTCAACACGAACACGTTCAACATCGCACCCTGATGCGAAACAGATGTCTTGTGTGCGGAATAGTCCGACCTGAGGTCATCTGCTGTCATGGGCTGACGCTGCCGGCACGGCCACTCTTCGTGATGCTAGCCCGCGGTGCGAGTGGAAACCCAGAAACCACCTTTCGTTGTTCAGTCGTTTCGCGTGCCCACGGCAATGATGCCTTCATGGCTTGAGCGAATCAGTCGGCTGGATGGTAAGCAGGTTACACAGTGGCGACTTCAATGCCCTCTAAAACGGAGGAATAAACATGACAAGAATCGAGCGTGCAACACTCCGACGCATTGGACTGCTTGCTCCCTCAATCGGAGAATCACCTGGCACGGGCAATCGCTGCTTCATCTGGATAATAACAAGCCCCAACTTCACAAAGAGTCTGGATTGGTTCTATCTCAAAACATGGCCGGTCTAGTAGGGAAAGGTAAAGCTTCCCAACACACGCCTCGAAAACCATCAGGAGCCCTGTAGCACTTCGAAACAACAACACTGCCATCATGTCTGCCGCGAGGCCATGTACACGGAAACCCTGCATGTCGACATGTCTACAGTTTGGGCGGCTTCGCGACTTTTCAATGCATCTCATCCTACCATCGCGACACCTGGCAAGCTATCGGAGCCTGCTTATCCCGATATCCTCATGGTCCGCGGACTCACTGACACACTCCGCAGCATCCGGCACCGCCTCACTTTTTCCATGTCTAGGTTCTGCATGCTGCTTCTTGCAGGAATATGGGAAAAACTTGTCGGAGTCGCGTGTATCCAAGCCAAGCAATCTCAAAGGAGGCCGCGTGTAAGCCTTTTGAACGGCATAGTTACTTCGACAACATGCCCGTGAGCCCGACTAGCATCCTGCTGTGTCTAGCCGCAGCGATTCTTGTTGCCGCCGCAAACTAAGGCCGTGCGCCTCGTCGTCTTTTTGCTTTGCCGAGAGGAGGCTGCAGGCTTCCTTTTCACACTGTCACGCACTGCAGCTCTTTGCCGGGCCCTTGCATCTTCCTCTCAGCCTTCAGCTTGGACCCGAACCATCGACCAACTCTGCACACCGATACTCCAGTCATTCGAAGACCATATCGACTGTCGAGTTGCCCGAACAAGCAAATCCCCGTGCTGTACTTGTTTCGTTGTGTGATGGTACAAAGCTCTGTTATGTGACAAGAGCTTGCCCAGCTGCAAGATCTCGAACTTTTGCTGCAAGCTCACTTGGTGCAGTTTCTGGGTTTCCTTGACGCATCGATTGAGTTCATAGTGAAGCGCTTCGTTTGATGTCGTTCCGCTGGGTAGCAATCGCAGCCACTGAGCAGAGAGAGCATGACGAATCCGTACATTTTTCACGTGCCACTCGGATCTCTCTGCAGCCGTTGCGGAATGCAATAACTGCCAGACGCGGCGATTTGGTCCTGGAGAGACCTTGTGGACTTCGTCCTTGTATACATTCTTGGGAGCTGCTACTTTTGTAGCCCGAATGCATTCCACACGAGTATAAAAAGGCTCATCAAGCTTGATTTCCTCCTGAATTAAACTTTGAAAGCTTTAAAAATTAAAATGTTCAACAATTTCAATAGGTTTAGAAACTCTAAAAAACTTGAAACTTATTCAGAATTTCTATAAACTTCAAGATTGTTAATAATCGCAAAAAATTGCAAAACACATTTTAAATAACTCCAGATCCCCAGAGGCAAAACGTTTAAAGAGTTAAACAAAAATCAAAAAAGATCCCCCGAGAGCAAAGGTTTAAAAATGTTAAAAATTTCGAGAATTCAAAAAGGACTCCAGATCCCCAGAGTCCAATTTAAAACATTTCAAAGGAACTCCGGATCCCCAGAAGCAAGCAAAGACTGCGTATAGGTCCTATACGCACATAAGTATATATATATATATATATGTACACGTATGTGTATATATATATATATATGTATGCACATATGCTTGATCTATGTGTATGTATGTACCTATGTGTACATAAATATCTTTGTACGTTTAAAGAACCGCTGATACAGCAAGCAAGGCAAACCTGATAAGAGTCTAGCGACCACACCCGCAAAAGTCAGCGAGGACGCGGCCTGCGCAAGCATTCCCAGGATCGCCTGAGGGGGGTTGAGGTTTCAAGCTTACGATTACGGATTTAGGAGTTTAAGGCTTGCGTTTTAGAGTCTATGTAGGAGTTTAGGGGCTTGTGTCTGGAAGCTTATGCGGGTTTAAGGCTAGCGTTTCGGAGCTTGGGGTGCAGGATTAATGATGTAGGGTGATGGGATTTAGGGTTTCAGGAATCGCCTCTGGCGCGGTACGCCGCAGGCACTTCATGCTGTGCAGTGCGGCTCTGGTTCCCTGAGCTGTGCGCCGATAGACTTCCCTCACTGAGACAAGGGCGAGAAACAGGAAGCAGACAAGATTGAGAGCAACATGCGGGCATGAATTCTGCGATGGTACACAGAGCTTTGCGAAAGTTGCAGTGCTTTCTGCTGCAGACACAGCAAGGGCCTCACGTAAGCGTGCTCGACTTCACTTGCCGACTGACATCTTGGATGATCCCTAAACCCTAAACCCTAAGCCCTAAACCCTACACCCAATACCCTAAACCCATAAACACCCCAGATATAAAAGCGGACATCAGTCGACGCACGTGCATTCACCATCCCCTCCCTCTTCGCGTAGCTTTTTCCCGAGACGTGCCCAGCATCTTCTCGGCTCTCCCCAAACTGCCGGGCTTCACCCAGTCACTGGGGAAGGTGCTTCTTCGAAGCTCGGAATTGTTGGGTTTGGGGCGCAGGGTTCAGTACTCGACAAAAGAGGGTGCTCAAAGGGGCTGAGCGGCACCCCAAACCCGAAATCCCTCAAGAATAAATCCCTAAACCGCCTATGCACTTCAGGGCGTCAAATGGCCTCGTGCCATCCCCCTTCGGGATAGAGCGAACGAGCCACTCGGACATGTCTCATGACACGGAGCCCGTGGGTTTCGCGATCCCAGCATCGATTCATGTGACGTCGGGAGGAGACGAAGCCCGAAACATCCTGAAACCTAAGGCCCTAAACTCTGTGAGCCCTAAATCCCGAACCCGAAATCCCTGAGCCCCTATAGACCCTGACAAGCATAACCCTTCGACCCTGAATCCCCAGCCCATTAACCCTAAACCCCTAAACCCCTGACAGACACAAGAGCCCCAAAACCCTAAAACCCTAAAACCCCCACACCCCTAAACCCCTAAACCTCTAAATTCCTAAATCTCTAAACGGCTAAATCCCTCAATCCCCAAATCCCTACATCCCGAAAGCCCTCTATCCCTCAATCTCAAAACCCCTAAGCCCCTCAAATCCTAAAAGCCAAATCAAAACAGATCCAAAGTACCCCCGGGCCCCTCCTGGGACGTGCCCCCTGCTCTTCGAATTTCGGGCCAATGCCCCCGGGGCTCGCTTTTGTAGCCCCCAATTTCTTAAAGGCTCGTAGCATGATCGGTCTCTAGGGTTTCGGGGTTTAGGGCTTAGAGGTTTAGGGATTTAGGGGTTTAGGGGTTTAGGGTCTCGGGTTTCGGGTTGTGGTTTTCGTCCCGGCGGCAGAGTTTCGGGTTTTGCGGGTGGTCGGGCTCTAAGGGCTCTTGGGATGGTCGGTAGGCCTGACGTCGGTGAGGCTTTCCGCTCATTTTAGGGCTTTACTTCTGCGGGTTCCTCTGTTCTTAGAAGCTCATACCCCTAAACCCCTAAACCCCTAGACCCCTAAACCCCTAAACCCCTAAAGCCTAAACCCTAAACCCCTAAATCCCTAAGCCTCTAAGATAGCAAACTCGGTGGAAGGTAGGGTTTAGGGTTTACTCCAGGGGCCTTTAGAACTGGAATAGGGTTCCGGGGAAGATTGTACGAAGGAACCCTCAAAAACAGAATAGGCCCCTATGTTACCCTAGGCATCAAAAGAGCCCAAAGGCCTTACATAGTATGGTCTTTGGTCCCAAAAGCCTGAATATATGAGTCCTCAGATGCCTAGGGTTAGGGTGGCCCCTATATGGGAGTTTCCGAAAATAAGAGGGGCCTTATATAGCACCCTAAATCGTAGGATCCTTCTTACAGGGACCCCAAAACAATGTACCCCTAACTTTCGGAAACCCTACACCCTATAGACCCTTTATAGAACCATATAGGCCCCTTTAAAGGAGCTCTTAAAGGATCCCTTTAGAGGAACCCCTAATAGTAGGGTGCTTTAAGCTTGGGGTCGAGGATGTTTGAGGTTCAAGGCTGAGCCCCCTGGGTACGGCTCAGCTAGTCAGAGGTTCGGCCCCTTTTAGGGTTGAGGGTTTAGGGTTTTGCTAGGCTTTAGGATTTAGGACTTAAGGTTTAGGGTTTAGGGTTTAGGGTTTTGCTAGGCTTTAGGATTTAGGACTTAAGGTTTAGGGTTTAGGGTTTAGGGTCTTAGGGTTGAGGATGTAGGATTTAGGGTTCAGGGTTTAGGGTCATAGGGTTTAGGGTCTAGGGTGCTGAATCCCTGAGCCTTCAAGTGGATAAAAGAAAGTACTTTCGTGTTCCCAGCAGAGTCCTGCAAAGCAGCTCAGCAGCCTGTCACAGGGATGTCTGAGAGTGCTATGGTGGTTGAGGATTCGGGTATAGGGCTTCGGTAGGGTTTAGGGCTTCGTGCTGAGGGCGTGTTGGAGCCAAATCTTAAACTGAACTTCCCTGAATAGCATGACACCACGCCCAGGACCCTATGACATCCCGGCTGCCGCACACAAACAACCGTGCATCGATCCTGGCGTCCATTTGAGTATGTACGATGTACCAGCATCATCTCACTAGTCCTGAAAATCCTACACGGTAAGCTTGACTGTCTACAACTACTTGATCGTTTCAAGGTATCCTTGTTTACGGACTTTTCCTGCCATGTTCCAGTCCAACCTCTTGAACCCCCCAAGACGTTTCCATGAGAGCCCATTATATACTCATACCATGACATTACTCGGCCGCCTTTCGTAAACCCAACAAAACGCTAACAGGACACAACACAACTTACAAGAGTAGCAGATCTAAAAACCCCCAAAATAGTACAGGTAAGTCTTCAGGCCCCTCTAATTACCCTAGAACCCTGCTTTCTAGATCCCTTAAAACCTTTAAGGAACCTTTTATATAAAGAAACCCCCAAAATATTATGGGTAGTTATTCACTCAGGCCTCCATATCCGAGATGCGCCAAAAGGTCAGCTCTGACCTGACAAGCCATAGCAGTCTGCTAGCGCTCCGTTTAGAAGGTTTGGGGTTCAGCATTTGGGTTTACGGCTTCGGGTTTGGGTGTGGGGTTTAGGGTTTTTGCTGTAAGGGTTTAGGGCTTAGGGCTTGGGGCTTAGGGTGTTCGGTTTTTGGTTTAGGGTTTGGGGCGGGTGTGGAGGGTTCGGGTTTTGAGGGTTCAGGGTTTGGGGTCTGGTGCATAGAGCCACTATGCAGGGTTCCTTGAAGCGGACTGCTCTTGACGGAAACGCTTCCTACAAAAGGCTCTTGGTAGAGGGTTCCCATAACGGCTTCCCGTAATGAGAGTGCTATCGGGGTTAGCAATTTACGGATAAAGGTCTCTGGTTTCTCTTTGCTTCGGCAGCAACAGCCGTAATAGCCCTGCAGGTTATGGGTTTAGGGTATAGGGTTTAAGGCACAAGGCACCAGGAGTTAATTGGCCAAAAGTGGATTTGGGATTGGGGGTCGGTACTAAGGATAGAGTCTGTGGATATGCACTTAAGACTTTAAGGTTTAATCTGGTGGAAAGGCACCTTTTCTGCTGCGAGCCTTTTCTCAAGTCTGAACCCAAACCCTGTACAGTAAAAGCCAGAAAGTTGGAATATGATTACCCTAAGCCCTTGATGGTAAATTATAGGGTATCCTACCCTGAAACCATGTTCCAACTTTCTGGAGTTCCCTTTAAGGCCCTAGGTCGGGTACACAATCCTGGCCCCAACATTGAAGGCTCTGAGACCCTGAACCGGGAAGGCCCTAGACCTAGATCCCTAAACTACGGTTGATGACATATATCCTATGGGAATTCTGGGTACTTTTGAGGGGTTCCTTTAAGGGATCTATAGGATTTTAGGGTTTAGGGTTTAGGCTGCTGACATAAATCCTGCATTACCTTAAGGACCCTAAACTATGGGAATTCTGGTCTATTCCTTATTATGGGTAATGCAGGATGTATATCATCAACAGTAAGAGTCACGTCAGCACATCCAAAACTGGCTTTCAGCCCAATAACCAAATTCAAGGAAGCTCAAAAATATTATTACACCCAAGTAGAGCCTCCAAGCCCAACCGCAGGAATCAGGAAAAAGATCACCACTCGCCATGAAAACCTCAATCCTACATCCCAAAACAGCAAACAGCCACTCAATCCGACGGCGCCTAACCATACATGTAAAAAATTCGCAAAACACCCTAAACCCTAAACCCCCTGAAACCTAAACCCTAAACCCTAAACCCCTAAAACCCAAACCCTAAACCCCTAAAACCTAAACCCTAAGATGAGTTCAAGGAACAGAACCGGGCTGGCCTCAGAGGCCCATCGCTATGCCGGGCTTTTGGGCCTCTCTTAAGCATTGGGCTTTAACGTAGGGATCTTGATAATTAGACCAGGGCTCCTTTAAAGGGGTCTATATAGGGGTTACTTTAGGGGATCTATAATTTAAGGGTACTAATTAACCCTAAACCCCGAACACTGCGATTCGGGTTTAGGGCTTAAGGTTTCGGGTGTCGGTTTAGCACTTAAGGTTTAGGGTTTAGCTGTTGCAAAGAGAGATCCAAGAGGCTTCTGGGACTTTGGCGTTTTCTGCTTCAACAGGTTCCTTCCAAGGGTTTATACGGGGTCAACACTGTGAGGGTTGTTTTGAAAGGGCTCTTGGCGGACTGCCAGGTTTAGGTTTTGGGTTCAAAATTGAAAACGTTGGTGCAGGAGTACCTTTGGGCTCTCGGTCAAGGGTCTAGGGTCTAAGGAGGCGTAGCGCTTTAAAACCTAAACCCTAAACCCTTTGAGCCCTTCACCTAGGCAAGCTTGCCCGAAGAATCAAAAGATAGACTCTAGCGCATATTCTGGCATCCTTTATGTTGGAGACCCTAAACCCGAAGAAACCCTGAACCCTCATCCCTCGACCGTCTTCAAGCCTCAACATACTATCGGGACATTTATAATTAGAATCGGGATTTTGGGTTTTTTATGCTATAAGTTCAATAAGGAACCCCCCAAAATAGTATAGGTAATTATTGAAGCCCCTATACCATGGAACCCTACTGTAGATCCCTTACCTTTAGGGAACCCTTTAAAGGATCCCTAAATTCGTTTGCTACGCATGC